ATAAAGATGGATTATTACACATGATTTGCAAAGTAAAATATCCATAATATATTATATAAAATAGTAAAATATAGTATATTTAGTATCAGAGATTAAATATATAATATAGTATATTATAAAATACTCACAAATATAAAATACTTATTTATAATATTTTTATATATACAAATACACATATTTCTTTGTACCTTCACGGTTGAGCAAACACCAAAGATTTAGGAACCATAATATATTGCAGAATATGAAATCAATTTAGTATAAATATTTATAAATATTGTGTTTTCAAAACTATACTGCAGGCTCGTAGCCCACCTGTGTTACACTTCATGTAACACATAGTATATTGCCAATATTGGCCTGGTTATAAACATGGTCGCCATTTCATATTTTTCTACAAACTTTTCTTGATCGACTTCATTCAGTTCATTATTTCTTCGGTTTATACTGAAGAAGTTATGCCACCAAAAAGAGCTAGAGTTTCAGCAGAATGCGCAATTGCAAATATTATGCGATTTATGGAATATAAATATGACAACAATGACAGTGTCACAGTGATGATGGTGAAATCACTCAATCAGTGATGTTGAAAATGATTTGGATTGTTTATATGGGGAGACAGGTCAGTTTCAGTTGTATGTCTTTTCATATGGTACAGAAATGCCAGCTTGTAAAGAAAAGTGGTGGTGTTTATGGACATCTGAGGTATGCCATAACATAAAAGTATGTCTTTTGAATGTAAAAGAACTAAAAATATCACATCCAAAATTTTTTTTATCTCTTTACATAAAATAACCAAAATGGGTAAAATATTAGCAATATTCGCCATTTTTTGACAGGCGGCCGTATTCAATTGGGCAAAAAAACAGCATTAAGGATTTGAATTTTACTTTTTTGTTATGTTTAAGTTAAAGAAAGATAAAACTTACTAAAAATAAAACTTATAGGATAATGGCAATTACTCAACAGAATTTTTAGCCCAATCAGCACATCCCAGGTCATATCAACATGAATAAACCCCGGTAAGCTTATCGTTTTATGATGGGGTATGAAACATTGAGACCGTTATCTTGATGGGGTACCAAATATTATCCGACAAGTTTGTGGGGGTATGAAATTATTTTCACAAAATTAAAAATATCCTCCGCCCGGGGTAGCACTTACTTTATGACCGCTCTCTAAATGACTATCCCAAGATAAGAATTGATCAATTAGAATACCTATAATCAGGAGCAAAAATTATTGAAACAACCGCATAAATGCCCCCCTCACCCCCAGTTCAATGTTGTGTAAATGACTGAAAAGAGAAAACTCAACCCACTTTTTTCCAACATTGATCATGGGGGCAGGAGGGAGGCCGACGTACTTTAAAATGTCTCATTATTTCTGCATGCGATTGTTGGGACTTCGTTTCAGTTACCACGTTTAATGGTCACATGTATTATTTATCACAATGTTAGGTTCAGAGGTAAGATTATTGATCTTAGATCGACTTGCAGGTCAGGTGGAAAATTTCTTGTCTGCATGTCCGCGTTTTCCACCTGACTTGCATGTCCGCGTGTCCGCGTGTCCGAATGTCCGCGTGTCCGCGTTTTCCACCTAAACGTTCCAGAGGCTCTTAAGAACCTAGCTCTGGTCACATCGGTTGCAAATCCCACTTCCACACTTCATTAGGTTCAGAATCAACCCCGTTCTCAGAGTATTTGCTCTTTCCCTGCTGGAGCGAAATACCCTGGAATGGACTTATGACGTCACACCCAGATTTTGGGTAAAATAGAATATTGTTAACTAGGGTCGGGGGAGTGAGTATATATTGTCACAATTAATTAGATCGCTCTGTAAATATAAACAATATGCATTGAATCTTCAAAGAAATCGTGAAAAGAACTGCAATTAAAAATTAATATTTATCGTGATGTGACTTTCTACTCTATAATCTATAGTGTCGAGTTACAATTCAAGCAAGTTGGATCAGATTTCAACTTATAGACTTGTCACTCAGAAAGCAGGCGTGGACGGCGTGGCAATATAAAGCAGTACAAGAAAGTATATATATCTAGACCGAACAATGTGATTATTCATTTAATTATAACTGTTAGTAAAGTACAGTATATCTTGATACTCGAACCAAACGAATTTATTTATTGACGAGATGTGGAAGTGCAACGAAATAGCGAGATCTTTTGATTTCCGAAATATCGCCAAGACGCCAACTGTATCCAGATTGTTGACTATAAAAGCTTATAAAATTTCCTGCATTGGCCCTTGGCATTGCTAAAACTCAACAATCATGGTATATGTTAAAGTCTAGCTGTCTGTTGAAAATCTACGGTATTAAAATCATGATCAAAGATAAGTCAAACGACAGCTAGTATACTATATTATGTCTTTCAATGGGCACTTTATATTAATAATACGTAGTGTTTACAACATTTATAAATTTTATAAACAGCTTTCGTTTTGACACAACTCACACAAGTTTAATTTTTTTGCTTTATATATATTCTTAATAATACAAGTGAGATTTAAATTTTTTGCTTTATGGAATAGAATATCGTTATTTTTTAATGGACAGCTTGTATCGTCTTTATCATATCCAGGTTTAATTGCCTGTAGAAACATGGTAGCCTCGGTTTCTTTTGTTTCAGCAGGGACGTTTAATCACGTATTTCCCTCATTACCATGCATACGCTTTTGCCTTCAAAATTTCCCCGGGAAACGGGGATATTTAGTTGAAAACAAAGGATTCCTTTGTCTTCTAATTTTCCCCTGCATGCTTGATGAGGGATATTTAGAAGACAAAAGCGTACCTCATTTAGCTCATTACCTTTGATTGGAGAGCTGTACCTCATCGAAAACCATCGGCACAACTATGAACAGTATCTGACGACACCGTCCCGTACACATTCGAACAATCACTTTGTCTCAGCTTTTATTCCCTAATCTTGAACATTTCAATTGTGGGGGAAAATTCCGTTTATGCGCATGCCTAAAACGAATTAACACGGAGGTGTGTTTCTGCGCGTGCGTATATATGAAAAGTGTTCGTACCACAATTATAAGACAATCAAACAGCATTCAAAACAGGCAACACACCACGCGCGATTCCTTCGGCTACCATGTATTTACAAAAGTACTAAGGCTATTGGGTTCGTTCAGAAGGTATTTTGCTGTCAAAGAATGAAGTTTTCCTGTGTTCCTGTTGATTGTTCCTGTTTGCTGTTTTCGTGTTGGTGATTCCTGGTCGTGCTGCCTGGTCGTGCTGCCTGGTCCTGCTGCCTGGTCGTGCTGCCTGGTCCTGCTTGGTCGTGTGGCCTGGTCCGGCTTGGTTTGTCTTGGTCTTGTCTCGTTACCTGGCCTGCCGTATCTTGGTGGTTCCTTTTCCAAGATTCAACAACGTCCGGCGGCAAATAGTCGCTGGGCGGGGTAACCTTGTTTATTTTTCTTTTAAGTGTGTTGTTTAGGGAGTTTTGTGTGGTTTCTTGCTGTTCCCGTTTGAGGGGCCTATTAGGGGGCTACTCTAAGGAAGTGGTCTGTTCCTTTCTTGTTCGTGTTTATTTTGTTTGGGGGACGGTGCTTGACCGCCCTTAATAGCCAGGTTCCTCGATTGTGAGTCCCCTTGGGGTAATATTTTGTGTATAATTTATTGTGTGGGGTTACCCTCATTTTTGATAGAATTTCGTGCTTTGTGTTAAAGTTGTTATAAGCATGAAGATTCCTTTTTCAAATCGAACGGTGGATGTAAATCTTCCTAATACTCAAGGGAAGGCCAAGGTAACTGTCAGAAACATAATGGAAGACTTACATCGCCAAACGGGAGATAATTTGCCAAGTTATTCGAGGCTTTTGTCTTATTATCGCCTCGCAAAGTTCGTATTACTTGTCGCGCCGCATTGAATATGGAAGAAGTGTGTCATCTCGGGCTTACGTTTCGAGATGTTTGTCTAACTTTCAACCCAGTCAGGACGGCCAAATGGGTAAACATTACGCGCCTGAGTTATGGGATTCCCAATGAAGCGATTGCTGATGCTTTGAACCCATACGGCAAAGTCATTCAGATTAAAATGGACTCCTTTCATGGAGTTTATGTTGGGGTCCGTCAGGTTTTAATGGAACTGTCTAAACCCATTCCTTCGCGGTTTACTATTGCAGCTCATTCCTGTAATTGTTTTTATGTTGGTCAGGTTCAAACGTGCTTCTCGTGTCACCAGACAGGTCATATGACTAAAGATTGCACTAATCACGCGCGTACTACAGGCAATATCATCAATGCAGATGGTACGGGTAATTCGGTTAGGCATACCATTGATGAGAGCCACACGCATTTTCCGCAATTAACAGATGGTCGTCATCCGTCCATTACAGCAGTAATGCCGATAACCATAGTCTGGGCTTGCATGCTAATGCAAGGTAATCAGCAGTTGAACAATTCAGTCACTCACTCTGATGTTCCTAATGCAGCTGTTACAGGTGATAAAAATGTTCGTAACATCAATAAAGGTGGGGTCACAGCTACGTTACTCCCGTCCTCTACAGCAGTTTCTTCTCCCGTGTGGTTCAGCCATCTTCTCGTAAAGATTCTGACAACTCGGAAGATGAAGATGAGTTTGTTGATGTCCTAGAGGAACTACCATTACCAGAAGGTGAAGGTGGCGAGCAGCCAGTTTCTATAGTTCTTGGGAAACGCACTAGCGAACCTGATGACTCGGATGTTTCCGATATTTCGGAAAAGCGAGTCGATCGAAATCCGTCTTCGGATGAGAGTGTAGTTGAGAATGATTTTGTCCCTTCTTCTCTGCCTCTCCCTCCTAGTCCTTTGGCTCGTTTTTCCTCCCCCAATTCGTTTTCGTCTCTTAGTGACGAAGTTGATCCCATATCCATGGAGCATGATGCAAATGGTGTTGCAATTCCACTTGAAGGAACTACATCTGTGCAGAGGAAGGTTCGTACCCGGTAATCGCAAAGGCATTCTAAAGTGGATGATTCTTCACCTCTTCCCTCCGCTCCTCCTGCGGATGACTCTGTGTCTATTGCTTCCGAAATCCTTGGTACGCCCTCCATCGAAGCTTATGAAGGCGGAGATGAGGAGGATGGTGGTAATGATAATATGGAACCGTCTTTGACCAAATATAACGAATACCATAACATACCTGAAAATGGATCAGAATTTAGCGCGGCTCAGGAAAATGATACTCGGACTACTCCCTCAACTCAAATTCCACCGAACCTTCCCAGGAAGGAAAATCTTGATTCGGAATCTCCATCTCCGATTGATCCCGTAACCTTTGCGGTTCCTGTAACGAAAAGGATTGGCGATCCTTCTTTTTAATGTCAGAATTGTTTTCACTTTGTGTCCTCGTTTTGACCTTGACAACCATCGACATGAGCAAGTTAACATTTATCACACTAAACTGTCGGGGTCTGCGCACAGCTGATAACAGAGCAACGTTGTTTCAGTGGGCAAATTGCGCTAAAGCTGATTTTGTGTGTCTACAGGAGACTCATTCAAGTTCCGAGGAAGAGTTTTCATCTTGGTTGGATCATGCCACCTCGTCGGGCTGTAATAAGTTTGGTTACAAATGCATTTCTTCCCCAGGAACCATTCTTAGTTGTGGGGTTGCCATTTTATACAATCCTAGTTATGATGTTGTCAGTTGCTCTCGTGACCAAAATGGTCGGCTTTTGTGCGCAGAGTTTTCCATTTGATTCAGTTGGTGAACATATATGTTCCAAATGCCGCAAAGCCTGCGTCTACTTTCTTTGAATCATTATATCAAGCAGGGGCGGATCCAGGGGGTATCGAGTGTAGCTCAAGATACGGTCAGATTTTTCCGATTGTGCATACTAAAATAGTTTTGGGGAAAAATTCAATATTAATATATTTTCACGCAATGCGTTTCTGTTTACAAAAGTAATGAAAATTTGAGTTTACTAAGATGAACGAGGGCAAATTCTTTCGTAAATTTTTAAATTCACAGCTCTAAATGTAACATTAGACGTGTTTTTAAAGCATTGAATTACTTTAGACGAAGATGAGCCGAGAGCTTTCCGAAGGCATAACCCGACGTTACGTAACCCCATCGGGAAAATGTTTTCAAATGCGTCTGCGGTGTTCTGATACGGTCCGCGGTTCAAATGTTACTAAAAATAGTAACTTAATGAGGTATTTGGATACCTTGGAGGGTATCCAGCCAATCACAGGACGTGTATCTATGACGTCGGATACCCTCCGATACTGTGGCTGTATTTTGATTGCGCAAGAAATTAAATAATCGTGAACCGCTCGGAAACTTCGTCTCATATTGCTAACAGCCGCATTTCATCTAACGTAACTGAGTGAGTGAGTGAGTGAGTGATGGCCTTACATAATTTCAGAAGACGTCCTTGAAATAACACTTTATAAACAGTGTATTGGATGCCAATTACAACAAGACTATTACCAAAAGGATATGTCCGAAGGGGCCGAAGTTATGTTCGGCGAAAGGTATGGCTAGTTTACATTGTTCGAGAAAATTGAGTAATATAGTGAAATATATGATATTGCTTGACCTCTCAAAGTTCATAAATCGCTATATTCACTAAAACTATCGTTAGGAATTAGGAGATATTCTTTCAATGAACCGAACGGTAGTATTTTTGTTTTCATAGCATTCGCCTAACCGAAGATATTAATTTGTAAAGTCATATTGCGGCATTGCGCGTGCAATATGTTATTAATTTAAATAGGGACCGGCCGAGAATATTAATATACTCAGTCGCGAAAGCCGACTTTTCTATGTCAAAACGCCCCCGGCCACGTTTCATGAAACATAAACTTGAACACTGATACCAAGAAGAGTTATTGTGTGTTTTTTTGTTACTTTGTGTTTAAAATATGACCTTGTTAAGGCCAAATTTTATGCCAGAATCATGGGCTCAGAACGCAGGAAACGGCATTTCCGGGGTTCAAACTTGTGGGGTGCCGGGCCGGAATTCGTTAGAAAGTGTTCGTTTGCTGAAGGATGTGGTTTTTCTTGCCAATCAGAATCGTAAAAGAGCTGCAATTATTTCGCTGGACCAGGAGGAGGCGTTTGATCGGGTAGAATGGGGGTATTTATCCCGTGTATTGAAGACTATGAATTTTGGTCAAACCTTCCAGAAACGGGTACTTTTATTATATTCAAATATATTTTCCTGTATCCTGATCAATGGTGAAACAACTGAGTTTTTCTCTGTCTCTCGAGGTGTTCGTCAAGGCTGTCCCTTATCCCCTTTACTCTACGTATTGGTGGCGGAAACAATAGCTAGTGCAATTCGTGCGGACCGTTTCATCGATAGTTACATCTTACCACTGAAATGGCCGGACGGTAAAGTTATGTCAATACGCTGATGATACATCTGTTATCGTAACTACAGACTTGGCATTGAATGCTCTGTTCCATTTGTTCACACGATACGAGAAGGCGTCTGGGGCTAAATTAAATGTTAAAAAATGTCATGGGTTGTTGATTGGTACATGGCAATCTCGTTCTAATCTACCAATTGCTCTGGATTGGTCCAATGTGGAAATAATTGTTTTGGGTTCTCGTATCTCTAATGATAATGAAGAACAATGGGTGTCAAAGATCAAGGCCTTGAAGACAACTTTGTAAGCTTGGAACCGGATAGCGCTTTCCTTTCGTGGACGCGCTCTCATTGCCAATATGCTGTGGCTAACTTAATCTGCAAATCAAAGCTTGCCCGAGCGGCAAGGACCGAATATAAATTTCCTTATAGTTGTCTTGTTTCATATTTGTTCACTTTAAAGTATAATTCAAGACCAGATAGTTGAGGCTACATCAGTTGGCATTGCAGCTATGAGATTGGATGATGATTTTAAGAATAACATTATTATTTTCAAAACATGCTCAACTGTTATAATTTTGCAGTTAATTTGCTATACGGCAGAATACGTTAAACAATCGTGGTTCAGGAGCCTTTTAAAAGATAAAAGCTCTGTGACTGTGTTGTGACTGTTGTCTAAAATAGCTTAAAAAAACTCATTAATAATTCATGAGGAAGAAACACAAAAAAAATCGTAAACGTGCAATCCATCTTTATATGATATGTGATAGAGATTTCCCTTGATTTACATAAACTTTAAGTTTGATTTTCTTTATATACACAACGAATTTTTTGAAAGCTATTTCGCCAATGAACTTATACTAGATCGATCGATCGTTTTTGAAGCAATTTAAAACATTCGCAGTGCGTGTTTTATCAGACAATCTTTATAATTATCTGATAAAATACTGCTGCTCATGTTTTAAATAGTACATAAAATCTCTGCAAATCTCCCTATAGTTGCCGAGCAAAAAGCATGCATGATGCTAATTATAAATCTCGACTATGATTGGATAATGGGTGAAGGTGCTATTACAAAACGTCAATCATCCTTAATGGGCGAAAACAAATTTGTCATAGCCATTTGGGCAGGCGTTTCCTCAGTTCCCGCCCGTCAGCTAAACGCCTGCTACGCAGGCTACAGTGTGGCCGTTGAACTCGAAGTAACTGGTAATCTGGCTGGATAGTGCAGATTCTTGAGATGCATGATCTTCTCTGGCGAACATACAGTGAGTTCTTCGTTTAAACTAACTTCCCCAATGCTACAGGCGACGAAGAGTACTGCCTCTAGAACGCTAAGAAACCTCCCGTGAGAGATGCAGCTATCATAAACACTGTTTCCGCCGAGTATACACGACACTATAAGTTAACAGTATTCCATTGTTCTGATAAGAGTTGATCTTTATCAAGTTGTAGTGCAGCTTCATTCATGAGATAGGCCTTAGCTAGTAGCAGTGAAATCAGGGTACATGCATTGCTTCCCATTTGTCCATTGATAGTGCTTTGCGAAACACAAAAGGGAAGGTTCAAAATTGTAAAACTACCCATTGCTGTAGGGTTGATTCTAAGCCCACCTATTTGTGGAACAGATGCACTCGTACCACTTGGGATTGGTCTTTTGCCCTGTGACTGTGTGGGTCGTTGAGATGCCAGTCTTGACCTATCAAATTTAAGAAGTCGACATTTACTCCTATTGTGTCCAGGTTCCTTGCAAAATGTACATCGCCTCTGCTTCAATGGGGTGAATTCTGTTGGTTGCTGGCAGGGTTTATGAGGGATCTGTGGTTGTGTAATGTTGATGTCCAACAATTCTGTTTCCACAAACTCCTTCCACTCAGTTGACTGGTAATAGTTATAGTCCTTGTTGCTTGGTACAGTGATAGTTTCATCTTCTTCATCATCAGGCTGATTATCATTGTTAATTGTAGATGGTGGAACAACAGATTCAGGATCAAGTAAACTGCTATCGAAACTGTCTGTCAATTCTTTAGCTTTCATTGCTAGAGGCACTTTGCACAATTGGCATTGGTTTTCATTATCTCTTAAGCAAGTCTCATGGCAAGTGTGAAAGCACTCAAGTCGTACAGCATTGTTAAAACTTTCTTTATCACATGTGGAGAAGTCGCAGACAGTGTGTTGATCTGGCTGAATGTTCTGGTTATACTTGTCATGTGCGTATGACACAGGTAAGCCAATGGTCACATTGCAAAATGATGGTAGCTGAAACTTTGGTTTGCCTTTCAATTTTCCTTTTGAGGTGACTTTGTGAGGAATCTAAAATTTCAGATAAAATTGATGTTCAACAACTGAAAAACTGGAGAATGTTAAGTTGTTAACATTGACAATTTTGGTAATTTATAAGCTTACCTGCTTGATCTTGTTAAAGTTACTTGCAATGCATTGAAATCTTTGGATCAGAAATTCTGCTGATTTTCCGGCCAGGAATGTATGATCTTCCTCTTTGATACTCTGGAACAAAGTGGCGTTGGACACCACTGATTACCTTTGCTCTTTGGGTTATAACAGTTGGTGGATCTGAAGGAGAGATCTTACTGCGTAGCTTTGAGTGCCATACTTCAACCTTCTTCTCTGTAAAAACAGTGAGCCAATGTTGCATGGTGGAATAGTACTCTGGGAAAAATTCTTTTTGGTGTTGAGTATCACATGAGTATATCATAATGCGTCGTTGCCAACAGATATAGGCTACAGGATCAAAAATCGATGCATGATTGATAGATAGTTATTATATCCGACATATTTATAACCTATTTTATACCTATTTTTCTCTATTTAGCCCTATTTTTTCCGTATTTTTTCAAAAATATGACTATTTTATTACTATTTATCAAATTTCATAAAATAGTATATGACTATTTACATCCTATTTAAAATATAGGTTATTTATATTTTTCAAAAAAATAGCTTTGCAATAGATATTCAAATCCAATTTGAAAGAGTAATTGACGGAATCTCACTATAAATTAGCTTTTAAATAGCTATTTAATTCCTATTGATGACAAACGAGTGAGTTAAAATAGTTTAAATAGCTATTTTTAAACTATTTTTGCTTATCTTCTTTGGAGCCAATCTTAACATAGTTATTAAATAGCAAAATAAATAGATCTTAAATAGCTATTTAATTCCTATTCATAGAAAGTTGTGGCGAACTTTGTTCAAAATAGCTGTAAAATAGCTATTTTTAAACTATGTTTGCTTTTATTTTTGGAGATATTATTGAGTATTGTTAAAATAGTTATTAAATAGGAAAATAAATAGATCTTAAATAGCTATTTAATTCCTATTCATAGAAAGTTGTGGCGAACTTTGTTCCAAATAGGTATTAAATAGCTATTTTTAAACTATGTTTGCTTTTATTTTTTAATTTTTAGAGCCATTCTTAGAATAGTTATTAAATAGCAAAATAAATAGATCTTAAATAGCTATTTAATTCCTATTCATAGAAAGTTGTGCCGAATTTTGTTCAAAATGGCTATTAAATAGCTATTTTAAACTATGTTTACTTTTATTTTTATAGCTATTGTTAAAATAGCTAATAAATAGCACAGTGCCCTTTTTAAGGAATTTTCACTGGGGGGGGACAGGAAAAAAGGCAGAACGAAAAATATGACCCATCGAAGTTTGGCGAACGCGCGAGTCTGAAGAGAGATTTTGTAAAACTTTAATTTATTAACTTCACCTATATAAACAATAACTTCAACCGCTTTGTAGCTATAATCGTACAGCTATAACCAGTGGCGTAGCCCGACCTTAATTTTTTTGGGGGGGGTGGCGAACCTCACGCCGAAGGCATGAGACCGTCTAGGAGGGTCCGGGGGCATGCACCCCCGGGGAAATTTTGAAATCTAGGGTCCCTGAATTGCGATTTCAAGCATTTTGGGAGTGAAATTCCGAAGAGTTCCGAAGATTATAAAGTACATCGAAGACATGAATTTTTCCAGACATTTCTACTCGGAATTAAATAAATTGGAAAAGTCACCTTGCAAAATAGGAGGAGGGGTCAGTGTCACCTTATTTCCTCTATGTGATGCTGGGGGGGGGATCACAATGTGATTTTGATCAGAAATGTTGCATTTAAATCATTTTAAGTTCTATGAGACACCATTTCTGCATTCTCAAAATTGCGTTGCTTTTTCATACGATACAGAATAAATCTGAGAAGAAATATTCATGCTATGATGATGCATACATGTATTTAACAGTTAAAAATCTAAACTAAATCTATTCTTCTTGGAACCAGCATTTTATCGGATTGTTTGCATGAAATCTATCGCTATTATGAAATACTCGGTGAAGAACAATATGAATTACACACAAGATAGCTGTGGAGGAGGCTATGGAAGGGCATAATCTCATTATCAAGTAAATCAACTGCAATTCTGACAGCAATCATGAGCAATTCTGCTTCGCACTTCGGGGGCAGAAATGGCTTTACTGGAGGGGGGCAAATTCTTTCCCTGGGGGGCAATTGGCCCCCAGATATATAGTTAAAAAAGGCACTGAAATAGCAAAATAATTTGATCTTAAAAGCTATTTATTTCCTATTCAAATAAAAAGTTGTGAGAATTTAGAAAGGGTAAATGTATTTATTTAACTGGTCAAAATTTCCCATTTTGAGTTAGTTAATTTTAAATTTTTCATCAGTTCATTGAAATTATATTTACAAAAATATTTATAGTCTTTGTGGACTTTGTGGAGGTAGGTATTTTGTCTCTTGACAAAACAGCATTTTTGACAAAACACCATGCATATATGAATACCACCAAAAATTCTCACGACGAGCGCGGTTTGACAGACTGGTGCCTAATTTTCTTACAACGCGCGCAAAGCTTTCTGGGATAGCGTCACAATTCACACCGCCAAATTTTAAAATATTTTTAGTTTAAACTTTCCGCTCTAAATGGCTCAAATACAGAGCTTTTATTGAGCGAAAGTGGTATTTATTTTCAGGGCCGCCGAGAGGTTGGCGGGGGCCCGGGGCAATTTTTTTTTAGGGGCCCTTATCTAAAAATTTTTTCCCGGAAAAATTTTTTTCCGGAGAACAACCTCCCCCCCCCAAAAAAATATTTTTCCGGACGAGTACGTTGCAATCAACCTCGTACCCAGGGCCTTTGCGCGGCTCAGAGCCTCTGGTACGGGAAGCAAAGGCCCTGGTAAACACTGGTCACGTGTGTCCAAAAATATTGGACATTTTTGTAACCTGGCCTTATTTAGGTCATGTTATCCCGGGGGGGAAACTGAAGACTGAACATTGCAATGCACGAACTATAAAAGTTTCAAATACAAATGATTTTGCCTTTGATTTTTAAAATATGAATGTATAACAAGTGTTTTAAAATTCATATTTAAAACAACAGGCAGCATATTTTAGGCTTGTTTTTATTTTGATGGAAATTATAAGCTTTGAAGTCACATGGATTTTGAATGCTATAAAGAATGCAGTATATTCAGGTAAACGATTTTATGATGCATATATAAAATTATATTCTCATATATTTTAATATTTATCAGTTTATATATCCTAAATTCCAGCAGATTCGTGGCTGTCTGTTTGTATAATTAGTTTTCTTCATTTAATTACTCCTCCATCTTTCGCTTTTGGATATAAACCCTCCTTCATGCCTGATATATTTTTTGGTTATCTCCATCCTTCACTTAGATCACTAAATTCAAAATATTCTGTTCCAGCTTGCTCAGAAAATATTCAATCTTTCATAACTGGAGTTCCCTTTGACATGTAAAATAGTTAGGCAGTACCCTCAGTAAGATACTTATATAACTGGCTGACCATTTATAATACATTAGTCAAAGTTAATAAATGAATACATGCAAAAATTACAAATTAACTGCCCTCATACCAATCCATTGGTCTCTGTCTCTCTGACTCATACAATAAATACTTAACAGAATAGTACGATAATAATAGAAAAGTGTGAAAATGCCAACGTTACCTAACTTTGTGTGACAAGAAAGTTAGATTACATTAATTTAACAGTCAGGTATTCTTTTCTTAATCGCCTCAACACTCTGGTCGATGATTCCAATGGCCCCCATAAAATTCCAATGGCTCCCATAAAATTCCAATGGCCCCCATAAAATTCCAATGGCCCCCATAAATTTCCAATGGCCCCCATAAATTTTACTGGCAAAAATGTTTCCCCCACTTCTTGCCATTACAGTAAATCTCCATAGCCCCCAATTTTACCCAAACAAGGGAGAGTGGTCATGCACACAGTAATGGGAATATGAGATAATCAAATATGGCATACTTTGTTATTTTTCTCTGTCCAACACCAGACAATTTTACTTGTCAGCTGTAAGATTATTATTATAAGTGAGTAATAAAAAGTGGCTGGATATTCTAACTTTTGCTCCATATAATTGGACTTTGGTTGTGAGCAAAATGTAAAAAGACAATTACCAGTAATACTGGCCTTACTACATTCCTATTATTTACCTTGCAACCTTGAGCAGTTGTGCTGTTACAGCAGAATGTGGTTTCTGCCAGTAAGACATTTGTCGTTTGTTTCTCTTTTAGTATTATATCGAAAAGGTGATTGCAGGGTATTCAGATCCTGGAGAGATGTGAAATGGCTCTGACCTTGGGCAATTAAGTAATATATGAGTGGTGTAAAATAGGAAATTTTTTATTTATTCAGATTGACTAATAAAATTAGAATGGTGAGAATAATGATGATGATGGTAGTGAAATACAAGTTGTGATGATATTGGTGATGCACAACTTATAATGATACTGCTGATAATGAAAATATATTGTATTTGTAATGAGACATAAATAATAAAGGGATTGGCAGTAATGAATGCGTATGACTTGATCAATTGTGCTGGCGAGAAGGCAATATATTGCCACCTAGATGAATTAAGTCCCATGCCATTTTGTGTTCAAAACTAACTGTTTTCATCAGCTCCAAGCATAACTGGGAAAGCTGGTTTCAATCCTGTTAGCTGATCTTGAAACTATGTGCACACATATAAATATTTTTTCCCCTCATGAATTATATTGTTTGCCCAAAAAATCAGTTGATTATTTCATCTAGAAACAGTGTGAATGTTGTTTGAATTTGGTATGTTCACTCTGTGACAAGTGAAAGTGATAACTGTAATGTTGTAATTCATGCATAATATGGTGATTTTTGGTTTCAGGATGTAAAAAATGAAATTTACTTACTGATAAAATTCAGTGTAACCATATTCATTAAGCCTCTGTGTCTCTCTAAGCCCTACCTCCTCAATACAAATAAAACTCTGCATAGCCGGATAGGACTAAATAGGTTTTTAATTTTACTGACAAAAGTATGATGCATCAAAACACACAATTTTTTAGACCAGCTGTGAATAATACTTCATTAAACCCAAAAGAATTTTTATGGTAAAGAAGTAATATTATAGTATTCTCAGTAAGTGGAATAATTGACCATCATTATGGAAATTATGTAGGCTGAAGTATTTAAAATGTTTAAGAATGTAATTGTTGGTTTTTAACCAAAGCCAAAGATATTTGAAAACAAAGTATGATATGTCAGTCAGAGTCTCGGTGCTCAACTATCAATGTATTATTTGTAAAAAGTGTTGGTAGTCACAATGGTGGCAATAACATTTGTGTGGTTAATCTGGTTGAAGCAGAGAATTTAATTGATCTCCTGATAAAAGGCATGTTTTCTTGGGGTTGTAGCAAAGGTCTTTCATGAATTCTAAGGCAGCCCAGTTGCCAATTGTATTGAACCAAAGCTATTAGACAGGGTACAATTACAGCTTTTTTTTCAAGATATTATTACAGTATATACTATAAGATACAACTGACAAATGAAGTATTTCAGAAAAATATTTACCCTAAAATTATTGGTGACTTGTGCCGTGACTAATATTGTTACAGCTTTAGTTCAAATTTCATAACAGCCAGTTATACAGACTGTTATTTGCCTTTCAAACTCCTAAGTCACGTATCACTGATATAAGATTCGTAGTAAATTTGTTTTTTCAAGATCACTGTATATTATTTCTCATGATTCAGGATTGGTACCCCCCCCCCCCAGACAAACAGAAATATAGATGATACATGTATCCCAAAAAATAAATATGAAATTAACTCACACACACAAAGGTTTCAAGGTACTATGTATAATTTCATTCACAACTGTCTTTTAAACTACATACATACGGAAACCAACCTGTCACTCGACCAGTTAATTGTTTCAAAATATTCTGCTTTGATAACTACATGTTTAATACACATGAAGAATTTCGTTTCCATAGATGTCCCCTCTGATTTATCCTTCCATAAAAGTACAATAAAATCCCAAGTGATATTCTTTGGTCAATACATAAAAATTACTTATAATCAACAATGTTTATTTAATTCTTTATAAAACGTCGCACACAAGCAGCTGCATTGGATACAAAATAGACAGTTTAAAGACAGATCACTCGAGTCGACTCGACTAGTTTTCGCTCAGTTTGATCTTCGTCCTTCTATCTTTGATAAGTATTACCGTTAACTATTCAACAAATTGTTGAAATAAAGCTCATAGAATGCATAGATAATATATACGCACTCTTAAATCTCACTAGGACAGTTTTATTTATCATAATAATATAAAAACTCGAAAACGTCGCGCCTTCGTGCTGCCATGTTTGATAAAATCAATCGGCTCCGCTCCCCCCGGGTTGAAAACTAAATTATTACGAAATGTCCAATATTTTTGGAGTCACATGACCAGTGTTTACCAGGGCCTTTGCTTCCCGTACCAGAGCCTCTGAGCCGCGCAAAGGCCCTGGGTACGAGGTTGCGTTGCAATTGCTATCGAGGGACTTTATCTCATTTTTTCATGCCAAAATTCAGTACTTAGCCCAAAAAAACAGATCTCTTGTTCTTTGCGCGGAAATATTTAACACACAAAAAAGGCTGGGGCCCAAAAAAATTTTTCAGGGGCCCCCAGCAACTCGGGGCCCGGGGCAATTTGCCCCCCTCCCTGCCCCCCCCTCTCTGCGGCCCTGTTTATTTTAAAGATAAAAGATCAGGGATGACTGGGTAACATTCAGGTAAGAATTTTTTTATGTTTTATATATAAATAGAGCAATTTGGAAAGGAAATATTTGCTATCTTCATTCGTGAATTTTGAGCACATGTTCCGGCTTAAAATTTCAATTTGCTGCGACAATATTTGAATTAAAACAACATTAGTTTTGTAGAAAGGCTTACATTTGACTCGGCCTTTATATTTATAAATGATGTTTATTGTAATGCCAAATAGTATACTTTGATCTTTGTGTATACTATAGTGTATATGACAGATTGCCAGATTCCAGTGTTTGTTGTATAAAATAATATAGCTTGACATGTTGGCATCTACTCAATTCTCATATGCCTACCCAGGCATGTCCCAGCTACACATGGTTTGAGAAAATTTATCGACTGGTTTCAAATTAACTGGTACTTTCATAAGTTTCCAATATTTATTCATATATACCAGATGATCTCGTGTTCGTATTTTAGCCAATCAGCGCTCAGAAAGGGTTGTCCGGATAGAAATCCATTTTGATGTATTCAGTCAATTATATCTCTCGTTAGTCTTTATGAAACTAGTTGAAATTTTGTAAATATGTTTGGTTATGAGAACTCTAGCTCTGACAAAAATATGGAATCGAAATAAAGTATATTACAGGAGAGATTCAGTTATTTTAATCGTAAAATGGATTTCTATTTGACAACTAGTGCCAGTACTTTTCCGCGTATCAAGATCATCTGGTAGGTAGGTCAGTTTAGGATAGATAAAAATATCATTTTGATGTGTCGTTGTCATATGTGGCAACTTGATTATAGACGTGTCCCTAACTGGAAACAGTTAAACTCCTTAGTTTGCTTGTTCAAACTTATGAATACATTTAGTTACACCACATGTCTTCATGATCTGCTTAATAATATATGTAACAACCTTTGGGCTACATTTTATATATTTTAGAGACACCCCGGCAAGGGTTTGATTGTTTTTGGAATTACCCATTTCACTCCAATGAGCCCAATATTCAGCACTTTGTTATTAAATGTTATCTTGCCTAATGCCGGACAATTTTTTTCATCAAGGGAAGTGTCTAGCTAGAGTACTAGACTCTGCCCATGTTTCATGTTGACATATAACGCTTCCTACTTAAGTACTTTGATATTATTATTTAACTCTGACATATCATGCTAGACAATTTTACTTACCGACTGTGGCATGCTCGCCCATATCTCACCTAAATATTAACACCTATAAAGGAGCAATTTGCTCTTACCTTAACTTACTTGAAGAATGAAGTTCTTTGTAGGGGTGTGCAAGATAGAATGTTTTTGCTATCCAGCTGCATACAGGATATATGTTGGATAGTTGAATAATATCCAGCTAGATTCAGGGTATTATTCAAATATATAAATGTTTTTTCTAACCTGCAAAGAAGGCCTGAACTAGCTGCAGCTGAGCTTCGCCCTATTCTTGATGTTACATGATATTCTTGCTTTTTTTTCTGCCCAGTCCCCAGCCAAGTTACTGTATGTATATACTTAACTCTTTGGCTACTATAGAGACTGCTAACTACAGATTTTTAACTCATTTATTGACAGACCTCTAACAACTGATAAGTAAAATTGTCTGGCATTTACAGACGGTAAATACTAAAGTAGGTTCGTAATATAGCCTCTGATGTTTCAGCTCTTCTACACTTGTTCTCAATTTCTTTTACTAATTATATTTTATTTAAAGACTATTTACATTATATGTTTTAACTTTTTATTATCTATGTTTTAACTACTGGTATTTATAATATACAGTATTTAAAAATATTTATAGGCTATTTGTATACACTATGTTTATTTAATAGCTATTTTAACCGTATTAACAGGACATATTTTAACTATTTATTTAATATGTTATTACTATTTTTTAACTATTTTTAATCTATTTGGGCAATATTATATCCACTATTTATTATATATATTTAACAAGCTGGGATTTATTTTAACTTTTTATTATCTATTTTTCAACTATATTATCACTATTTTTGAACTATTTATTATCTATTTTTAAACTATATTATCACTATTTTTGAACTATTTATTATCTATTTTTAAACTATATTATCACTATTTTTGAACTATTTATTATCTATTTTTAAACTATAATATCACTATTTTTGAACTATTTATTATCTATTTTTAAACTATATTATCACTATTTTTGAACTATTTATTATCTATTTTTAAACTATAATATCACTATTTTTCAACTATTTATTGACTATTTTAAACTTAGTTGAAACTCATTTCAGCTATTTATTACATATTTTTTACCTATATTGTCACTATGTTTTAACTATTTCATACATATTTATTAACTATGTCGAAACTATATATTTTTAATAATTTCCTTAAATGGCTCTATTTTTATCATATTTGAAACCTATTTAATTTCTATTCGAGTACATCAATTAAGTAACACAACAGCATCCTCAGTGGCATTCAGTATGACATGAAATGCACCTTGTTCAGGTATTATAGAGTTCAGTGGGGAAGTGTTATCAGAGTGTGCAATGATCTTCTTCACGAAGTACCAAGTTGGCCAATCACCAGGAGAAGGCATGACGAACATCTCTAGATATTGCATTAGTGGAGCACAACATTTCAACTCTAAGTCAAGGACAGCTTTGTAGTCAACAGCATATTTAAGGTTTTGTTCTGATTCTGCTACAAGAAAACATGAATTGAGTTTAATTAGAGTACGGTCATTCAATTTATTGTAGACTCTAAAGAAAGAAACCAAAATGATTTGCATTTCATAAATGATTAGTGCAGCTGTGTTATTGATCAATTGATCCATATTGTACATAGACCGCATATGAAAATTTACCTGAACTGACTGATTTGTTTGTTTATTATTTCAGCATTGATATGTTGATGGGATGATGGTAGAGATTGCAGGTAAGTAACCGAGTGGTTTTCTAAGGCTTTTGTCATAACTCCCTGTGCTATTTTAAAGCCAATTCCACCTTTGCAAGTGATGGTACTGCCCTCCTTATGAACCAGCACTATATGCTATGCCTGTTGTCTTGACTTTTTGGAAGTGGAATTGCAGGTATATTTTGGATGTCTAGAAGGTTTGAAGACATGTGGGAAGCGGTACTTAGTTTCAGACTAGTTGGACGCTTAATAGTTTGGATGTTGTGAACAACATCAAGCAAGTGCCCCATTAATTGCTTGTTCTAAAATACAAAACCCCTGCTTAGTCTAGAAAGCGTTTTGCTAAAGAAAGTTTGCATGTAAATAAGCACCTGTAATGCTTCTTGAACTTTAGTTTGAAGGACAGTATCATGCTTTTTCTCGACTTTTTTTTGTGGATATCTGTTGCCCTCCAGCATGGTACCAATAGTTTGTCCTGACTTTGACAAGCTGTGGCAGGATAAAAAAGCCCTGCATCTTTTTGTAATGTGCTTGTCTTTTGAGGTCTATAATGAATTATGAAAAATTTAAATTTGCATTCAATACAGTTCAATACTGGTAAGAAAAAAGCTAGTGACACAACACATCAGGAAATACCCTTTGCCTGAAGTAAGAAAAAATGTGCAGAAGTGCCACAGTTCTCTGACTTCTTCATTTGTCGTGTCTCTGATATAGATCTTTTTTATTGTTTTCCATGAGCTGAAGGATTTTGTTAAAAAGTCCTGGAGCATGTTGGTCAGCAAACATTTTCATCAAAGAAGGATCATACAGGGTGGAGTTGGATTCAGTCCAATTGTGGTGTCTATACAAAGCCATAGCCATCTGAAATTTGGCAATCAAATCTGGGAAGTCATTATCTGTGTAAAATATAAGTGTGTAAAGCAAAGGTTAGTTGTTGACTTTGTTCTTTGTGGAGTACAAGTCAGGTTTGTCACTTTACAGATTAGTCAGGTGCATTATTAAAATTTATGCTACATAGTTGCACAAGATTCTCATGTTAGGCAATCTTAATTGTCAAAGGGGGTTGTATGAAGGTATTGATTTGAATTTCTGTCCTTAGTGATAGAAGCTTATGTAAGTCTATGTGGACCTCTAATTTTGTCCAATATTTTTTTCCATGTTTCTTCATTTAATCTTAATTCTTTATATTCATTGAATAGAACTGGACCAATCGGAGAGCTTTCTTCCACCCAGGATTGCTGGCATTGGGACATGTATTTTCTTTGCTACAGCTGTCAAAAGTCTATGAAATATAACAGTGGATGAATTGAATATTAAATATTTTAGGGGTAAATTAAGGGAACTTTTAGCATTGTTGAGACACTCTATGAGTAGTGAAACTCCTACAGGGTATCAAAAGCCGACTGGAATGAATAAACTTTAGTTATTATATACTGTACATTATAATTACCCTTTTCCTTTTTGCTGGACCAATGTATGCAGCATGGGATGCAAAGTAATTATCAGAAATGTTAATACATTTCTTGAAAATCATTGTTCCAGGTTTGTAACTTTGTAGAGTTTTCCCCTCTTCATCAAATACTTCATAAAATCTTTTGGGACATTTCAACAAGAATTTGCTGCGGTCCAATGATATGGGACAGCAATAAAATTTCTCACAGCACATTGGTTGACGTGGTATGCAAATGCACATGAATCTATACCGCTTTCTGGGATTCCTGCTACCCGGAGTTGACCTTCCCTAAGTCTGAAGATGTCTTAAGTCTGAAGATGTCTTAAGTCTGAAGATGTCTTAAGTTAAAGACGAAATGTTACAATTAAAATTCTTTACAATCTTTTAAAACTGTTTTAATGGCTTTGTTAAAAGTTATATGTTGGGCTCTCATATTTATTATACGACTTCCCTAAGTCGATGGTATTTAATAAGGTTTTCATGGCTGCATTTTTTCTTTTCTGACCGACTTTTCGCAAAAATACAGGTCTTGTTTTGTGGCATGTTTTACCTATGAGAAGTTTTAACGTAAAGAGAACAAGAAAAATGTAATTTTTTTTGCTAGAAGTGGGCCCTGTGTTGTAGCCTGTTTGCCATGTATTGCATTGCGTGTATACATTTATATAGTCTTATATAGGGTGCCAAAAATTTGTGGAGCGTTTTTATAAACAAAAATGTTGCTAAACATCAATAATTTTCGTGTTTACAATATTTCAACTTTATTATTTACCCTACAAGTTGAGTGGGTTTAAATTCTTAACTTTTCCAGAGTTTGCTTAACTATCCCACTTGAACGTCGATATGTAAATTTCTTTGGCGAAATGTTCGCACTCTTCCCGGTTAAATTATTCTTTTTTAATTGAAATACTATTTCCTTTCACACTTTAAATGAGTGGAGACTTTATATTAACGTATAGTGTTACTTTCTACTATAATTTTTTGTTTGTTTCACTTACTTTGAAATAATTAATAGCGATTTTTTGTTTTGAATTTGACATTTAAATTTCCCGCCATGTTTTTAATCCCGCGCATGCGCAGACATTTTTCCGCGGTGTTGGTATGCGCAGAGTGTAATGTGCATCAACGCAGTAGGCATGCGCAGAGTGCTCAAACATTATTGCAGCAGATTGAAGAATTGCAATTTCCATACTTTGGATGTAGTATGGAAATAGTTTGGATACACTATGGATTTAGTGATGTAACCGCAAATTCTATTGCATAAATTTGACTATTTAGTTCCAGTGTTACTTTTCAGTTAATTTTCTGTAACCGCGGGCATAGCCTACTAAAGTTTGAAAACGCTATCTCTTCGATCCCCCAAAATGATTTTTCATATATTTTCAAGGAAATGCTCGGTATATTCGAGTTATTAAGCCAGCAGCCTTGTTAGCATTGCATAAGTAATCAATAGCTGCAAAAATAAATTAAGTAAATTTGACTATATTAGCGCGTCTAATGATTGTGTTCGGTAATAATTGTAGCTACTATAGGGAAATAAGAAAGCATCAGAGGAAATAAGACAATCCACTCAGCAATGGGCATAGGTGTCCTACCACACATTGCAGGCCTGAATGAAACAGGTAACATTTGTCTAAAACGATTCCACTAAGCACTTATTCAAGCCAGATAAGCAAATTGATTAAAACAGAGTGCTCTTTTACAGTAATTATAGCTGCATAATACCTAATTTATGAAATGTTGATGCACGAGATTTTGCAGATTGCAGATGGAAATTGTGTAGATAGATCCGGAAATCTCAAGTGTAAATTTTATACATTTTTGGACCTAACCAGGAGTAGCTGCAAAAACCAACTGAGCTGCAGAGTCGAGCTGTCGCACTAGCATCTTTCGCAAATGCTCCTGCATGTTACGTCTAAAATTAAATCGGCATAATAGCAATAAAATTATAATTATGACAATAAGATTAATAATTTAATGAAAGTTTTATTTCTTCCTAAAAGTCTTCGAAATCGTGTTAACCGCGAACGAAACGTTTGCCGTAGTAAGATTTTGATACTAAAGTCAAACAGCTTAAATCTTCTAACCCTAAACAGTGGTAGAAGTCCATTAAAACCTTGTGTGACAAGGTTCCACTTGCTCGCAGTAATGATTTTCAGCATCTTTTAAATCCACCCTTAGACGAAGACGTCGACGGAATATCTCTTTCAATCTTGCCAATATCATCAATCACACTTTACTGTCACCTATGAATCAATGAATGTGTTCCAACCTTTAGTTCCTGATTCCCCCACATGTTATGAGTCGTTCCATAATATCGGTCAGCCATCATCCGAGTTTGTAGTCACTGAACAGCTTACTATTGAGAAATTATCCAACATCAAATCTTCGAAGTCATCTGGGCCCAACACCATTCCCCACTGGGGGTTGAAAGATCGAGAACGCCGATATCCTGGCTATGCCAGTGTGCACGATTTTAAATTTGTCTTACCAAGAGAATCGATTACCTTCTTCTTGGAAATTGGCCGACGTTACCCCCCTTCTGAAACAGAAACCTGTACGAGTTATTAATAAAGACCTTAGACCTATTTCATTAACACCAATAATTTCGAAACTAGCTGAAGAAGTGGTGGTCGCACAATTTATTAAACGCGCGATCCATAAAGTTGTGGACCCTAAGCAATTTGGTACTGTGCCCAAGTCATCAACCACACATGTCCTTATTAGTATAGTACACATCGTTTCTAAAGCAACTGACGGTAATGGTGCCCTAGTTAGATTGGTTCTACTAGATTTCAAGAAAGGTTTTGACCATATTGACCATCAATTGCTCGTAATGAAACTTAATTCATTAGATATTCCTCCCAGTATTATCAATTGCGTGAGAGATTTCCTGACTGACCGTCAACAAAGAGTAAAGTTATCATCAGACAGTTTTTCAGAATGGGCCACTGTCCCAGCAGTAGTACTCCAGGGAACCAAACTTGGACCCTGGTTGTATCTCCTCATGATCAATGATCTTAAGGTAACTTATGTCTGTGTGTAACGAGGAAAACCCAGCCCGTTATTTATCCGTACACGATCAAGGACAACGAACTTACAACAACATCAGCCAAAAAGGACCTGGGAATTTGGATTTCTAGTGACCTTACGTGGACCAAGCACGTTCTGGAACGTTGTACAAAAGCAAACATACTGTTAGGTTTCCTAAGGAGAAGCGGCAGAGAAATAACAAACACAAGGTCTCGTCGCATACTTTATCTGTCAGTGGTTCGCCCTGTTCTTGCCTATGCAAGTCAGGTATGGTCGTCCCAGTCCATAGGTCTCATCAAACGAACAGAACGTATCCAGAGAAGAGCTTCCAAGTTCATACTGAATTTTCCCTTCATGTGTAGTGAGTCTTACCGTGATAGGTTGATCATTTTAGAACTGATGCCGTTATCGTACTGACATGAGTACATGGATCTTGTGTTCTTCTATAAAGCTATAAATGGTCTGGTTGTCATATCTAAAGATGTTCTCCCTAAACCGATAATTCCCACGAGAGTAACTAGATCTTCCAGTGCCAGTGAGTTATCCTTCCGCCCCAAAATGCAGGACTAGGACTTTCCAGAGATCGTATATTACACGCGTCACGAGAGTTAAGTTTAAGTACATTTAAGAGTTTATTACGACAATATTATTCGAAAGCCCTGCCCAGTTGTTTTGATGCAGAGGACCCAAGAACATGGAGATCTATATGTTTAAATTGCAACTCTTGTCGAAGTTTGACCAATGTTATCAACTGTTGTTTTTAGATATCTGTATGTAACCTATATGTTAAAAGGGCCCGCAGTTATTGGTTTTAACTGTTGTGGTGTCCCCGCCATTCGTCACTTGTATAGTTTTTGTATTTGTATTGTATTGTATGCATGTCATTCGTGTAAATTTACCTGGCGAAGTTAAATAAATAAATAAATAAATAACCGAGACTGATCTCTGGAAATACGTTGACGACACTACCCTAGCTGAAATACTGCCTAAATATACAAGTAGTAACATTCAATCCGCAGTTAATGAAATTTAATTACGATCAATCCAATGCTTTAAAATTTACCCTCAACGAAGATAAATGCAAAGAAATGTGGATACAGTTCAGTAAATCAGACCCACAGTGCCTTTTTTAACTATATATCTGAGGGGGGGGGGGGGGAATTGCCCCCCCCCGGA